TTTAAAACAGCATTTGACCTGCAAGTAGTTTGCAAGTTAAATTATTAATCTATTTGCTGCATTAATAAAATTGGGCAGTATTAGGAAAGATGCCCAGGGACGCTGCATGAGACCAAGTGTCTGTATTTTGTCTTATATAATTTGTGTCTGTTGCATACTTCAGCTCTTGAAAAACTATGCCTCTGTGAAAAGAGGCCCTTCAGTGTTGCTAGGAAACCCAGGAAGTGTTTTATATGATCTCAAGATTTTAATTTATTTCTAGTGCAACACAATGAAGAGGAATTGAAGGTTTTAACCATTTTTTGGAAAAAAAAAAAAAAAAAACCTGAAAGTCATTAAAAAATCATTTTAAAATACCATTAGCAGCGTGCTCATTTTAAAAACCTCAGAATAAAGCAAAAATGGGCAATCATCTTCCTTAAAATCTTAATTCTCAAAAGTAATTGTTGTTAACAGTTTGACATATAGCTTTTTATTTTGTTACACATATATAACTATTTTAAGGCAGTCTTTTAAAATTAGTTTTTATGTATCAAACAGGAAAGAAAAATAATATGAAAACTAAGTTGTATTTCATTTTGATCACTTTGTGTAGTATAAGTACTGAGAGCATGAATTTGGGGGTTTTCAGCTTTTATAAATTTAGATGTCTAATTGAAGTTATTTAACTTTTTTTTTGAGACAGAGCCTCACTCCGTCGCCGGGGTGGAGTACAGTGGTGCGATCTCAGCTCACTGCAACCTCCACCTCCTAGTTCAAGTGATTCTCCTGCGTTAGCCTCCCGAGTAGCTGGGGCTACAGACACATGCCACCACACTTGGCTAATTTTTCTATTTTTATTAAAGACGGGGTTCCACCATGTTGGTCAGGATGGTCTTGAGCTCTTGACCTCTTGATTCACCCGCCTCGGCTTCCCGAAGTGCTGGGATTACAGGCGTGAGCCACTGAGCCTGGCCTTATTTTACATTTCTAGTTGATTTCTACAAAATGAAAACTCTAAAAGCACACAGTACCAGGAAGTTTTCATTGTTATTGATAGAAGTTTTCATTCTCACTTATATATTCTTAGCTCCATATTTGAACTATTTCTTGATTTGTTTTAGAATGAGATTTTCATTTTTAAATGTACTTAGATTATTCTTAATCTTACTTGATGCATGAAGCATTACCAAACTAAATTTATAAAATTTATCAAATTTATAATCCACTCACCAGTTCTTTTCTACTGTGTGCAAAGAACTACAGCAGAGATAGAGGTAGCCGGAATTTCTTCCAGCCCTAATAGAGCTAATGATTCAATAGTAAATCAGAACATGCATTTTAAAAGGTCCTAGAAATACAAGGCACTATAGGAAGAAGATAAGTTTCTGAACATCTAGAAGATGTGACAAGCCAGGCACAGTTGCTCAATTCTATAATCCCAGGACTTTGGGAGGCTGAGACAGGAGGATTACTTGAGCCTCAGGAGTTAGAGACCAGACTAGGTAACATAGTGAGACCCCCCCACCCCCGCCCCCAAGAAAAAAGAAAAATGAAATAGAAGGTGTGACATAACTCTGGATGCTACTAAGTCAATAAAATTTATTTAGAAAAAAATATTCCAAGGCAACATATGCTAAGTGCTGAGTAAGTGATACAGAGGGTAGAAAGTAAAGTACAGTCAGCATTCATAGAGAAGGAAAGAAAAATTATTGTAGGGTAGAGAGGTAGAAATGCCTTAATGAAAGAGGTAAGAATGAAATTATTAGAAATAATGGAGTTTATTTAAGTTAAATAGGAGAAACCCTTGAGGTTATACACATAAATACAAAATCATATCCTTTTAAATAGAAACATGGGCATGAAATGGAGGCCAGAGTCATTGGACTTTCTGGCTGGATTGGTAGGTTTGGATGATGTCTCATCAGTATTTGCTGGGTAACAAACCAACTCAGACTTTAGAGTCTTAAAACAAAATCATATATTCATGATCCTGTGGGTTGCTGGTTAGACTAGGCTAGGATGGAAAATTACGGGCTCAACAGCAGGGCTGCTGAGAGCTGGTCTGGACTAGGGCTAAGTGTTCTAGGGTTGGCCAGACACCTCTGTTGACCGTATGGTTTGTTCACACAGTGGCAGGTGACCAAGGAGGCAAGAGTGGGTGCAGCAAGGGTTCTTGAGGCCTCACCCTGGAACTGTAGAGGTCATTCCTGCCACATCCTGTTAGTCAAAATTGGGCCAGCCAAATGTTTAAGGGAGGAGGTGCAGATAATTTGTATCCCAATATAAATTTATTTCAGGAGGGCATTTACATGTGATTGAACTCTTATGATGGTACCTAAATGTAAATGGTTTTTAATATAACCAGGATTTTCTTTAGTTCTCAATCGATTGGCTTTGACTTTATTAAAATTTTATTACAGCTGAGAGTCTGTGTGTATTAAGCTTATTTTAGGACTAATGGAAAGAATCATGCAGTGACTAATAACATAACTCTTCATTTTGGTTTGTTCTATCAAAATTTATTTGAAAAACAGCATCGAGATAGTCACTGTGGGGAATTAGGACTTTGGATTGATTTACTCTTAATTTTGCTCTAATGTGTTTATTTTTTTGGTGGGAGCAGGGAAAATGGGGAGGAAGAGAGAAGCAGGCCCCATGCACCAATCATATCTTAGTGCTTAGGGCCTCTTCCAGGTCATCATCCAGCTCTGAAGGCTGTCAGAGTGAGGTGACAGGTCCAAATAGTAGAACTGCTCTTCAACAGAAAGTGGTGAAACTTACAGTTATGCATACTTTAGATGTTTGAGTTTATACTTAAGAAAATATTGAGTAATCACAAGTAAAACATAGATGTAACAAACTAGTGCTGCACGTACTTTTATAGTATGAGTAGGAAAAAAGTTTTATGTGATTTTTCACTTACAGACTAACTTTGCATTTTATTTTTTATTTTTTGAGATGAAGTCTTGCTTTGTCACTCAGGCTGGAGGACAGTGGCATGATCTTGGTTCACTGTAGCCTACACCTCTTCAATTCAAGTGATCCTCCTGCCTCAGCCTTCCGAGTAGCTGGGTAGGTGCTATGAAGTCAACTATTAGGTAAAATTTTTTTGAGACGGAGTTTTTCTTTTGTTGTCCAGGCTGGAGTGCAATGGGGTGATCTTGACTCAGTGAAACCTCCACCTCCCAGGTTCAAGCAATTCTCCTGCCTCAGCCTCACGAGTATCTCGGATTACAGGCATACACCACCATGTCCTGCTAATTTTGTATTTTTTGTAGAAATGGGGTTACACCATGTTGGTCAGACTGGTCTTTTTTTTTTTTTTTTTTGAGACGGAGTTTCACTCATGTTACCCAGGCTGGAGTGCAATGGCGCGATCTCGGCTCACCGTAGCCTCCGCCTCCTGGGTTCAGGCAATTCTCCTGCCTCAGCCTCCTGAGTAGCTGGGATTACAGGCACGCGCCACCATGCCCAGCTAATTTTTTGTATTTTTAGTAGAGACGGGGTTTCACCATGTTGACCAGGATGGTCTCGATCTCTTGACCTCGTGATCCACCCGCCTCGGCCTCCCAAAGTGCTGGGATTACAGGCGTGAGCCACCGCGCCCGGCGGTCAGACTGGTCTTGAACTCCTGACAGGTGATCCACCCACCTTTGCCTCCCAAAGTGCTGAGATTACAGGTGTGAGCCACCATGCCCAGCCATAAATTTTTTTTTAAATTTTCTGTTTTTTTTTTTTTTTTTTCCTAACATTCTTGGAGTAAAATTTTTAAAAGCTACATAAATTGACAGTGTTTCTTTCTTTTTGAATTATCCTTATCAAAACTTATTGCTTAGAAATATTTTTAAGCATTCAATAGAAGGTTGTAGAATTAAATCTAATACAATATAAAGAAGCCTTGGCAGAAACTGTCACAATTGATCAGCATATACCCTGCTGACAGTGACTTAGTTCCCAGTGTTTGTGGTAAGCATTAATTAGTGTAGCCTTGAATTTGTATGACGTGACTGACCGTATTAGTCCATTCTTACACTGCTGTAAAGAAATACGTAAAACTGATAATTTATAAAGAAAAGAGGCTTAATTGGCTCTGCAGCCTGTACAGAAAGCATGGCTGGGAATCCTCAGAAAACTTACAATCATGGCAGAAGGCGAAGGGGAAGCAGGCACATCTTACATGGCCAGAGCAGAGAATGAGGAGGTGCTACAAACTTTCAAACAACCATATCTCTTGAGAACTCACTCAATATCATGAGAATAGTGAGGGGGAATTCTGTCCCCATGATCCAGTCACCTCCCACCAGGCCTCTCTTCCAACATTGGGGATTACAACTCAACATGAAATTTGAGCAAGGTCACAAATCTAAACGATATCACTCACCTTTTAGAGATTCTAGCCAAATTCAGTTTAAAACATTGGCTTGTATCTAGAAACCCTCTACTAGTAGAAATTTATATAACGTCAGGAAGTTCAGTGTTCTTTAAGGGAATTGTATCAAATAAGATGATTCTTGGCTGGGCACAGTGGCTCGTGCCTGTAATCCCACCACTTTGGGAGGCCAAGGTGGGCGGATCACGAGGTCAGGAGATCAAGACCATCCTGGCTAACACAGTGAAACCCTATCTCTACTAACAATACAAAAAATTAGCTGGGCGTGGTGGTATGCACCTGTACTCCCAGCTACTCAGGAGGCTGAGGCAGGAGAATCACTTGAACCTGGGAGGCTGAAGTTGCAGTGAGCTGAGATCACGCCATTGCACTCCAGCCTGAGCAACAGTGCGATACTCTGTCTCAAAAAAAAAAAAACACAAAAATGATGATACTAATTGTGTCATTGTACTTTTACAAACACACAAATTAAAAATGGGCATCTCTGAGTGTGGACTCCATTCCTCTGCACCCAAACCCCATCCTGTATCCCTCGCATCTGAGTGCTGCTTCTGAATGGCTGCAGGGTGCTGTATGCGCTGCCATTATAATAGCAAATTCTTAGTCCCGTGTATATTTCTTTCTCTAGATTTCACCAGAAGTTTGAGTATCACTACTCCTGAACAGATGATTGAAAAAGCCAGAGGGGAAACTGCCTATCTACCATGCAAATTTACGCTTAGTCCTGAAGACCAGGGACCACTGGACATTGAGTGGCTGATATCACCAGCTGATAATCAGGTGGTGGATCAAGTGGTAAGTTTGATATATCCTTGCTCACTTAGCAGCTGTCTGTGCAACTGTGTGATGTGTCCATCACCTTGCCAGTCACATGGATGGGCTGCAGGGAGCTAGGAAGGAAGCCCCCTACTTCTTAGGCTTATGGTCTGGGTGAGGAAGGCAATTGATCTGGTAGAAATTGAGGACACATATGTAATGGAGGGAAATGGATAATGAGTGGCCTAAGGTTACAGAAGAGGAAAAGGTCACTGGAGTTCTTAGAGAAGGTTCAGGGAGGAAGAGGAACTTATGAAAATTCTGACAATCTGGATTTGAGGCAGGAAATAACAGAGGCCTAGGTGGAGCAGGCATGATGCTGAGACAGGAATGTGTGTCATGTGTTAAGAGATGGCAAATAACTGTGCTTTGTTATTAAAGGTTAGACAGAATTGAAATTTTTACTCAAGGATTCTGTCAGCAGTAGAAGGGTCATTAGCTATAGTGTAACAAGTACATAACAGTCTATTTTCCTTATTTTTTTCAAGTTAAATATCCTGTACAATGCATTTCTTAAAAAACAAAATAAAGTCTTTTTAAATTAATTTTTTTCTTTGACTTTAGAACTTCCCAGTGTAAAAATGAAGTCTTTAGAGCAAAAAATAATCTATAAAATACTTAAATACTGAAACAATATTTTAGTATTTTTTTAAATTTTCCCTAATCAAAGTAATAAGAGTTTAATGTAGAAAATTTGGAAAGCCAAAAATAGCACAAAGGGGGAAACATGCCTAGTAGTCTCATCTCTTAATATATCCGTCATATTTTGCCTTTTAAATTATTCCAGAATACTTTATTTAGAGTGTTATACATTGGCTTTGTCTGTCACATTTAATTTAAAAAAATATTAATACATTATATTATATAGGGGGAGAGTAAAACAAGTCCAAATATTTAGGTAAATATAGTAATACGTATATTTGGAAGAGAAATTTTATATGTACTTATTCATATAAAAGAAGGGCATATTTAAAAGTGGCAAGTTACATTGTTCCATTTAATGGCTGAATCAGTGCAGTTAGGTAATTCATATTTTTGGCAAATCCAGTCAGTTTGCCCTTGAAGTTTATCTGAAGGAAATAATTAAGGTGCTTACTCAAGTTGTGAGTAACTAGAGCCACCCCCCGCAAGGATGTAACCTCTTCGTGATTCTGCTACCAGAATTTCCTTCTGGTTCCCTAAGCAAAATAAATCGAGCCTGACTCATTTTATCACTCAGCCCTGTTACCCTGTTCGCTGTCTCTCTTACCTCCCCCCCGACCCCGGCCCTTCCCACCTTCTCTCCCTTCTCTCTCTAGAGGTGCTGGCACCTAGAGTACAAGCTCCTATCTGAGGTCTTGCAGTTCCCCGTTCTTGTGGCAGTGCAAAGCCTGTCCCCCTTTAGAGCCTGGGACTTTGATCTCCTGCTTAAGATAGGGGAAGCCTTGGATGCATATAGAGAACATGGGTTTTTAGTGCTTCGGGTGAGTGAAGCTTGTGACAAGGTGCATGTAGAGACCCAGAAGCACAGTGTGCCCTGAGCCATTAGTGTGTCTGTTAATGGGAAGAGAACCTCAAGCTTTCCATGCTGAGTGAGAGGCATGGCTTTGCTGTCTATAGGAGTTTTAAGATAAATGTGAAACTGGGACTGGACTTTGAGTGACCATTTCTGAGTTAAAAACCTAGCTTCTAACTTAAAACACAGTCATATCAGGCCAAAAGAAAGGTAAAAGGATTAGGGAGAGATTGATGCAGAAGAGGATGTATGCATATGTAGAATTTAAGCTGCATATGTTAACTGAGCCCCTATTTCAATATATTTCAGCTAGTAGACAGAATGGTTAAAAACTAGGAATTGAAAGACTGAGCTGGAGAAATTTGCATTGTTATTCCTTGTGTGATCTCTTTAATCAGCAGTTACTGTAAACTGTATGCTTGGGCAGTATTTTATATACTTAAAACAACATAGTAAGGTGAGAATTATTATACTCATGAAAGGAGGAAACAGAGGCCCAGAGATTTTCATGCCCAGAGTCACATAGCTAGCAACAAATGCAGTTGGGATTTAAACCCAGCTCACTGACTCTCACACCTGAACTGTCCTGTGCTGCCTCCCATGTTTCATAAACCTGTTTCCTCATATGCAAAGTGGGAACAGATATACCCAGCAACCCAGGGTCATTATCAGAATTCAGCAAAATACCGTATGCACAAGCATTTTCTAAGCTCGTAAGTGATATTGAGATGATAGTTATGTACTGTGCCAAGTGAAATGGATCTGGTTTGCACCTTTGTTGTGTGACTTGGCGAATGCTGATCAGTGAGAGCCTCTGCTTTCCTCAGCCTAAATGTTCAATGTGGACAATGCCATCATCCTGCGGGATTGTGAAGGGGAGTCAGTGAAGACATGCAAAAATGCATGGTAAATTCCCCATTTCTTAACTAATATTCATAACATTGTTTCTGGGAAGATATGAAGATAGCTTATAAAATAACCAATAGTGGGAATGCAGCTTATTTCTCAAGCCCCCCTTAAAAGACTCCCTAAGGTGTGTGTGGAGCCTAACGAGCTACTGGAAGTACAACAGATTGAACTCTATGACCTTTTGCAACAGATGAATCAACTACTTTTTAAATTTATTTAACAAACTGGTATTGAGCACAACCTACATGCACACAGTTCATATATAAATAAAAGATCTTTGGTGGGTTAGGGTGGGATCAGTGTGGTTGGGAAGAAGATAACACAGACTAGAACCCAAGTTCCTCCACTCAGGAAGTTTCCACAGAATAAACCTGGAAAACAGTATTCTTGGATGACATTTATTCTGATTATACTGCCCGTAGTTAGCACTCAGGTAAAAGAAATTATTTGTAGGATACAGGCTGTAGTCGTGTTTCCTGATTATTATTTGAGTTTTGGCATCACTGCTCTTTGGCCCGTGGGTCTCATAACCAGAACGAAGAGATTAGCAAATATGAAACATTATAAAATGTGTTAAATTAATGTTAGAGATTGTTAGAGATTATTACTACAGTTCTCTTCTAAGAAAATATTCTAAACACAGATTTTGTTTTCCCTCTAAATCATCCAGCCTTTAGTGATTGCCATCAAAGGCTATAAGCATGGTTCAGAAAACTCAGTGGATTGGGCAAGGGTCTTTGCCTTAGTTACAGAAGATTCATTCAAAGTTCTTGTCAATCTGGGTACACATATCTTAAGAGGTTTATTGTATGATTTTATCTGTTAGAGTCTAGAACCCTTAAGTAACTCCAACTTAGTATTATGACCAAACAAAGTTTTTTATTAGGTTCCACAGACAAATTATGATAAGGCTTTTTGGGGGACAGGGAGCAGTAGGTACTTGATTTTGTTACAGTTGGTTGGCAAGCTACAGCCTCAGAGGCAGTTGAAAAATAGTCTATCAGAATGAGCAGGCCAGGCACGGTGACTCACACCTGTAATCACAGCACTTTGAGAGGCCGAGGAGGGTGAATCACTTGAGGTCAGGAGTTCAAGCCCAGCCTGGCCAACATGGTGAAGTCCCGTCTCTACTGAAAATACAAAAATTGTTGGGCATGGTGGCACATGCCTGTAGTCTCAGCTACTGAGAAGGCAGAGGTGGAGAAGTGCATGAATCCAGGAGGTGGAGGGAGCCGAGATTGCACCTTTCATTGCACTCTAGCCTGGGCCACAGAGCCAGACTCCGTCTCAAAAACAAAACAAAACAAAATGAATGAGCAAACCTGTGTTCTTCCCAATCTTACTAAATTGCTCTCTAGTACAGTATAGGGCTTTACTACTTTATCCTGCTGGGTTTTTATTTCCCCATTAAAAATGGAAGTTTGGGACTGTACCCAAGGATCACATTGATTCCTTTCCATTTATTTCATTCTGTGATTTGGATACTTTTAGGTTTCCCCATAATACTGTGTTCTTCTTTTTCTTTTTGAGGGGAGGATTCTGTAGCAGTAGGTGTATCCAGAGCTCCTTTAAGAGACAATTTTTTTAAGTCTGTTTGTTTTTCCTCCTGTCTAATTTTGGCTTTTTTTTAGATTATTTTATATTCTGGAGACAAAATGTATGACGACTACTATCCAGATCTGAAAGGACGAGTGCATTTTACGAGTAATGATCTCAAATCTGGTGATGCATCAATAAATGTAACGAATTTACAGCTCTCAGATATTGGCACATATCAGTGCAAAGTGAAAAAAGCTCCTGGTGTTGCAAATAAGAAGTTTCAGCTGGTAGTTCTTGGTAAGTCATTTTTATTTGTTAATGGGCTACTGAGTAAGAGGATGATTAGTCATAGTACTATAGTAGCAGCATTTGTATAAGACAAAGCTTAATTTTTTAGAATAACAATTTTAATCACTTGAAGTACTTCTGTGTTGGGTAACATCAAATATAAAACTAGCTTTTGTTTTTGGATAGGAAAAGTAAGAAGTGATCAGCTTCTTTGTGAAATTCATAAGAGTTTTAAAACCAGTGAAGGAGCACTGTGGTATGCAGCAAGAACCCTAAGCCAGGAGTTAGATGTAGGGTTTTTGCCTTGTCCTCAGAATTTTCCCTGAGAATTGTGTAGAACCTCATTATTTCCTTGGGCCTCAGCCTACCATTTGGCATTAAACCTATCAAATCCCATTCAATTAAAAAATGTTCGTTATGTGTGCTATAGCTTTTACCCATATTACCCAAACAATAAATAATGTTTTTATAATGAATAATTTGAGCATTTTGAATGGAGGTAAAGAAATATGGAGGAAGAAATATTGAATTCACGTTAAGGCCGTTAGTCATCACATAGTTATTTAAACTTCTTGGCATCATTGTTTTTTTATCATCAAAGTGAGTAGATGAGACATTCACTGTGATATCTTATAGCTCTCTCTATGATAGTTAAGAGGGAGATAGTGTAAACTGCTTTGTAAACTGCCAAAGACTGCCACTTTATTATCCTTCTTTAGATTCTGTGATGTCTACAAGCACTCTTAATCCCTTTAAATTGAGAAACTGAAAGCTAATAGTTCGTAAATATACTTCTAAAATCATACATGTGGTAAACTTTACACAAATGGCTACCATGTAGACAAAAGCTATGTAGCTCTCTTTTATGACAGTAAATTCCCCTGTTTTCATGTTTTAGGGGACACTTGGGGATTGACTTTTCATAGGAAAAGCTGATTCCTAGAATTGTCTAAGATGACTAGAAATAACTGATCAGGGCAGGACTCCCATATCAACATTTACCTCATTCCTTCTGTTCAGAGAACTGATTAGGGATAAGGTAGAATATTCTAAAGAATACTCTTTATTTTTGTCTTAATACTCTCTAAAGAGCAATGTTCAAGATGGCTTGGGCACCCAACACTTAACTACTCCTCCTAGGAGTAGACCTAGCACTTAACTACTTTTCCTAGAAACTAGGAACAAGAGTGGGGATTTTTGTGTACCTTAATGGTAAATTCATGGGTTGTCTTGGTAGATAAGTCATCTGCCGGCAGCATCATTAAGTGGGCACCTGAAGGGATCCTGGTGAGATGCATCATTCTGAATCACACTAACTAAAAATATTTCTTGTGGTGTAAAAGTAAGGGAATCTGAACACCAAGGAACCAGAAAAAGAAATATGGTAATGTTGGAAATTTGAACTTTCTGTGACTTCATTGAGTAAATATGGAGTAGCTTTTCTTTTTTATAAATGTATAAGCAAGTAAAAGATTAACACCTGGTCTGAATTCTTACCACAGACCCAGGAATTCCTGAGATTATAACCCTGACTATACTTTCTTCTAACACTGCTCTCCAGAAAGTATTGAGTTGGAAGATGTATACAGAATATTAACTGGTCCATGATATACGAAGCAGGAGATACTTGATTATCAGAATTATTTATTGTGAAACCCCTGTTTGATGGGACAGGTACACTGGGATGAATGGGGTTGGCACATATTCCCAGAAGAGTTGTGGCAAGCATATCTGTGTGTTTGTGTATTGTCTGGATCCTGTGGGACCAGCTTCAGGGTCACATTTGCAGTTCTTGACTGAAGAGATCATTACAGCATACAGAGCACATATCCCAAAAGGAACCTGAGTTGGGTGGCAGGGATGGCACATAATGTGGCTCAGTGCACTCATGTCAGGAGCCATGACTGCACAGCAGTAGGAATGGCCTTTTTACATAAAACTTCCAACCCCAGCATCTCATTCCTGAGAATGGGTAAGTGCGAAGCATTGACATAGTTCATCCTGAGTCACTCCTTTTATAGCCAAGTGAGCCTCGAATTCAAACCAGGGAGAGAGAAAAGGGGTAAATTGGGATGAGAAGAGAAAGCGGGGAAGTGATTGCTGAAGAGAAGTAAGGATGACTGGTGCTCTGATTGGGGCAAGGTTGTGTCAGAGCCAGAGGATTTCTTGTAGCCCTTTTTTCCATGTTTTTAGATCAGTCATGACTGCTGCTGGGAGAAACCACCAGAATTGTATTCTCTTGAAGGTGAGAATGGGATTGAAGCTTATCTATTAGTTTTGTCTGGAAATTCTGCCTGGATAATCTGGGGCAAAAGATAAGATGAAGTGCCCTCTAGTGACCCAACTGAGTGGTGGTCATTGGAGGTCATTCGATTCACTAGTGGCTCTGCCTAATGCTTTGGTTCTTTTGTGGGAAATCTGAAGTAGTTGCCATCATGGCATTCACAGTGTAATGCCAGTTCATTCATTGAGCTTGTGTGTTATATGGCCATTCACCCAGACAGATGACTGTTAGTCTTCTGGATGTGAGGGGAAGCATGTTGCTATAGCTTGCTCCATTGCCATGCCTGCCTTGCTCTTTCAGACACAGCAAAAGCATATGTGGATGCAGCTCAGTAAAGCAGCAGCGGAAGTGGGAAATGATAACACAGAGAATTGATAGAAGGTTACTATTGTGGCCACATATCACCAGCACCTTCCCCTGGAGCTCTGAAAGGGCCTGTTTATTGCAACCTTTTGATATAAAGAGACAGAGTTGTTTTGAAGAGCAGAACATGCACAGTTAACATCCCTGGACATATGTGGTTACTCACACTGCAGCATGCCACCAAATCACAGTGGCAACAGTAAGTGTAGTGGCTCAGTCATCACTGGCTTTAAATGTCCTAAGAGATTTGCAAACCACTGATTCAGGGCAGGGCCCCTCACTACTTTTTATTTTGAAATAATTTTTGGTTTTATAGAAATGTTGCAAAAATACTAGGAAGTTTCTGAGAGTAGACCCATCATCTCATTTTCCCTAATGTTAACATCTTACAAAATCATAATTATCAAAACAAAGAAATTAACATTGATAGAATACTATTAACTAAATTACAGACCCGATTTGAATTTTACTGTTTTCCAGTAATGTCCTTTTTGTACTAGGATTGCATCTAGAATCCACACTGCATTTATATCTCCTTAATCTCCTCCAGTCATGTCCGGGGGCACATGATATCATGTCTTGTTAATCGTGATCATTTACTTTAAGTTTTATCTGATGGGTTTCTCCACTCTGGAGTTATTATTTATCGCTCTGTAATTAAAAACTGTCTTGGGGGAAATACTTTGAGACTATGTTGTTTCTCATTTAAACATTTGCCTTTTGATTTTAGCATCTATTGATAGATTTTTCCTGGAGTCAGGGTATTTTTGAACCAGTCAGAAATTGTATTTCTTGGAAGGATGACATCATGATAAAAGCATTTCTTGTCTCATGTAGAGATTTAGCGTATATTTCCGGTAGACTGGTGTAGGCCACTAGCATGGAAAGATGATACAGTAATACATGTATAGAGCAGAGCATTAGTAAATTGATGGGATACCATGTCCAACTTCAACTTGATAGTCACTTACCCTTATCTGAGAAGGACGATTGGTTCTGTTACTGATCATGTAGGCAGATGTTCTGAGGACAGCGGTCAGGTATATGGGAAGCCCAGACCGAACATTTAGGGACAAGACTTTATTTGTGCTCTCTTTATGATTTTCTTCTGTTCCAGCAGAGTACCATGGGTTAAGAATTAATCTTCCTTGCTTATAGCCATTACTGTAAATTAAAAAAAAAAAAAAAAAAAAGGATTAATCTTCCCCGTGGTATAATGGTTGGATGTTGGCATGTAAAAGACTTGTACTTTCTCTTCCCAGTGGAAGGTAGGTGGGCCGCTCCAAAGTGTCACTCAGAAACCCATGTTGGTAGAATTTTGTTTCACTGTGGATGGTTATAGTGAGGACCTGAATTTCCTAGCTGCAGCTTTAAATAACTCTCCATTATTAGATATGTTTAGATATGTTGGTTATGTGGGAGAAAAGGGATATAGAAAGGATAAGGGTTGGAGTTAGAACACCATATTACCCATAGATGTTTGATGCACAAAGCATTGCATCAGTTACTCATTTGCTGCTAATTTATTCTAATAAAGGATTTATTGGTAGTTTGAAGAAATGGAAGAGAACAAGGCTTATTTCACTGAAGACTTTCAGGATGAAATAATTTGCAAAATTTATTTAAAAGTCCAACTGATATAGTCTCCAGAGCACCTGGTCAGTTTGAAAAGTAAACAGATTTGTTTGGAAAAATCAACAATGCAGTTAAATATGTCTGTTGACCTTTATTTTAAAAGTGTTAAGTAGTAACAGATGAAGGGAAATACAGTTAAATTTGTTAAGGAGTTACTAAGGAGTAAGATCACGGTTGACAACCTTAGTTGAAGATACCCCACTGGATATGACAAATCGTGTTGAGCCAGTTTTGGGAAACAATTTGACAATTTCTTACACAGTTAAAATATTTACACTCACCATGTGATCCAGCAGTTACTACGAAAAAGGAGAGCATACGCCAGTGTTCACATGAGTGTTCAAGCAGTGTTCTTAATAGTGTAAAACTGTAAAATGCATTTACCTTTATTTGTAGTAATGAAAGAATAAAAACCCATTCAGGATTGAAAAAAGGAAAATCAGCTTAAACTAAAAATGAAAAAAAGCAGTCCTGACATTTATCAGCCTGGAAGGACAGATACAGACAAAGTCAGCTGCAGAGTATATGGAAAACATTGTCTCTCCCAAGCCTGTGGAGCAGTAGCAAAGCATAGACTATTGCTGTCTTCCTAATGGTGCTCCCAGACCTACACTGCTACCCATCCTCTACTGGAATACTCACTTACTAAATGGCCCTGCCTCCTGACAGCTCCCACTTCCTGTTTAATCCCCATTTCTCCTCATATCTCCTCAGAAACAGCTGATTGAGAGCTGATGGCTGCTTCCTTAGAACCTCCTCAGAATCCTTCAACATCCCTGCTCTTGTCCAGTGGCATTCTGTGGTTGGTTCCTCATAATGCCTTCCCCACTGGTCCATATGATTTTGATAGACTAAACACTTGCTCCTTGTCAGTTTGGCTAACAAGGCTTTAATAGTAGCCCCCAAACTGGAAACACAGTATTCATTAACAATTGACTGAATAAGCAAACGTGTTATAATCATTCATTGAAATACTAAAATAACTACATATAAAGTAACACGGATCAATCTCAGAAACGTATGCTGGATAAAAGAAGACAAACAGTATGTACTGTATTATTCCATTCATGTAATTCCAGAAGAACTAATCTATAGCAGTAGAAACCTGATCAGTTGCTTCCTGGGCCAGGGTTTTGGAGTTACATTTATTGTAACTAGCATAAGGGAACTTTCTTCGGAGAGGGTTGGAGTGGTGCTTAATGGATATATAGACCCATTTATTAAAAGTAATCAACACACATGATTAACATGTTAACTTTATTGTGGGAATATTATGCCTTATTAAAGTTCAGCATAAGAGCATGCAACGCGAAGGTGTTAATCCAGGATATGGGTGAGTTGCAGGTAATGGAGGTAGTCGCTGTCCTAAACAGTTACCCGGAACACCTGGAATATAATCTCAGATTTCCTTTTTTTTTATTATTATTCTTTTTTACATATGAATTTCCAGATTGTGAATATCTTTTTGACTCAGGGTCTGGTTCTGTCACCTAGGCTGGAGTGCAGGGACATGATTATAGTTTCACTGCAGCCTCAAAGTCCTGGTCTCAAGCAGTCCTCCTACCTCAGCCTCCCAGGTAGCTAGGACAACAGGCCACATATCACCACAGTCAGCTAATTTTTCAAAGTTTTTGTAGAGAAAGGGTCTTGCTGTGTTACCCAGCCTAGTCTCAAACCCCTGACCTCAAGTGATCCCCTACCGCCTTGGCCTCCCAAAGTGCTGGGATTACACCATGCCCAGCCCAGATTTTTTATTATAACCTGCTCTTTGGATGGATTTGAGTTGATATAAATGCAGAGCGTTAGTTGGTCCTTGCTACACTAAATGAATTATCCCTGTTAGTATTGTTGATTATAAACTGCCTGATTGTCAGGGTTGTGGCACTAGAGGGGTGTGACTTGGGACATACTGCCAGGGAGCTATATGTCAAGCATGGAGAATAATAGCTAAGGAATGGAAGGGGAAGCTTCCTTGATTCTCAAGTGGTCTTGCCGAAAAAAGCAAGTGCATCATCCTTGGTTTTTTCAGGTATGCCTCATGGAATGGATGGGCACCAAGCTATGCCTGAAATATTGCCATATCTACTAATGCAGTGGCTGCTTGTCTCTGAGCTTATTCTTTGCTGTTTTGTCTCAGACAAAGCTGAATAAACGGATGTTGATCACTTATTGTGGTCTTTCATTTTTTTGTGAATTCTGAACCCAGAACCAACTGATAATGAGTCAGTGGTTGTGCACAATGCTGTAATCATAAAAGTAAGTTCCATTCTCTTATGTAAACTTATAATTTATTTTCTTTTTCAGTTAAGCCTTCAGGTACAAGATGTTACGTTGATGGATCGGAAGAAATTGGAAATGACTTTAAACTAAAATGTGAACCAAAAGAAGGTTCACTTCCATTACAATATGAATGGCAAAAATTGTCTGACTCACAGAAATTGCCCACTTCATGGTTATCAGGTACTGCTGATAATAGTATTTGTACCATGTGCCATTGATCTGGACTAAAATCTAGTAGGGGGTGTGTGTGTAATTTGAGATAGGGCCTTGCTCTCTCTTCCAGGCTCACTGCAATCATGGCTTACTGCAGCTTCGACCTCCCAGGCTCAAGTCATCCTCCTGGAACTACAGGTGCATGCCATCATGCCCCACTAATTTAAAAAAAAAAAATTGTAGAGATAGGATCCCCCTGTGTTGCCTGTACTGGTCTCAAAGTCCTGGGCTCAAGCAGTCCTTCCTTGGCCTCCCAAAGTGCTGGGCCCAGGCATGTGCCCAGCCTGCTTTTATATTTTAGATTCCCAAATGCTTTTCCTCTTCTACATAGAACAATCATGATTTCCATGGGAATTATTCAGTATTTTTTAATATCAATTTAGTGCCATGTATTATAAAGAGCTATTCTATGATTTCATTTTTAAGGATATTATAATTAGCTACTTAGGCATATCTTTTTTTTTTCCCCTGAGACAAGGAGTGTCACTCTGTCACCCAGGCTGGAGTGCAGTGGCAGGATCTCGGCTCCCTGAAGTCTTCACCTCCCAGGCTCAAGTGATCCTCCCACTTCAGCCTCCAGAGTAGCTGAGACTACAGGCATGTGTCACTACACCCTGCTAATTTTTGTATTTTTTGTAGAGATGGAGTTTCTCCATGTTGCCCACGTTGGTCTCAAACTCCTGGGCTCAAGCTCTCCACTAGCCTCGGCCTCCCAAAGTGCTGGGTAAATTATAGGCATGAGCCATTGCACCTGGCTGATTTTTTTTTTTTTTTTAATTGATGAGAAATGTTTATGGTTATAACTTAGTGGCCAAAGTATAATAAGAGTTGGATCTTTAGTGTTTTGCCTAGATTGAAAATACAGTAATTTATCCATGATGTGTCTATAAAAGAAAATATGTGTGACACTAAACTAGAAAGTTACAAATTGGCTGAATCTGTTCACCTATTTGCTGTAATTGACTTCTTAATTTAAACTGATTACCAGGCTCCGCCCCGCCATCCAGTGCATTCTGGACTTTAGTGGGCTTTCTCTCTGCCTTTCTTTTTTTCAAGCTAAGAGACCGATCTGGGAGACCGCCTTTGACTTCTTTTTATATGTTTCTTCCATCTAGGGGGTTAAAATAGGTTTTGTAAGTTTTCCTGCTGCATGAAAGATCCTTTGTGGAACAGGATAGTTTTTATAGTCTGATGTGCCCCAAAGTGAGTTTGCAGCAGCAACACAGTGGACCAACACCCTGCTTCAGCTCTGAGGCTCTGTGGTGCAGGGAATCATGATTACTTTCACATTGATACATGTGAACTGGAAACATGATTCTTTGAATTCTGGAGACATCTGTGTGACTCAATGCAATTTGTTTGCAGCCGGCTTTGATCTGTCTTGCTTTTAACTGCATTGTCAAACTTGGTAGGGGCTATGTTTACTAACAACTGAGAGTAATACATAATATAAAACTGAGTTTCTTTTTCCTCTTTCCATAGAAATGACTTCATCTATTATATCTGTAAAAAATGCCTCTTCTGAGTACTCTGGGACATATAGCTGTACAGTCAAAAACAGAGTGGGCTCTGATCAGTGCCTGTTGCGTTTAAACGTTGTTCCTCGTAAGTATCTTCTTTCACTTGGTGGTTTTCTTTCTGTTATCTTTATACCATCTCCTTTAGTTTAGTTAGCAAGTGTGTATTAAGGGCAAGGGGACACAGACTTTGATCAGAACACTGGTTTGATTATTAGCTTTTCTAGAAAAAGATATTTTATTTAAAAAACTTCATAATTGCAATGATATATGAAGAAGGTAAGAATTGTCAAATCAACCCTTGTACCATATTTATAAGTGCGAGTAGCTCAGAACATTCTCCTATGCTAACCAAGATAACTTTGAATATTAAAATCTTTCAGACAGGTTTTATCATTTTTATGTTTGAAATAGATTATACAGTTCAGAAGAAAGTTCTTTTTATGAATTTTTCCCCTGGATCAAAAAGACTAAATTATGTGTCTCTTAAAGTTAATACATGTGATGAAATCAATCTATAAATGTGTAGCCTACCTTCAATATCTATACATGTGTATTTTTTTTTTTACTATTAATTCTTATTAACTTCTTATTTTTAGCTTCAAATAAAGCTGGACTCATTGCAGGAGCCATTATAGGAATTTTGCTTGCTCTAGTGCTCATTGGTCTTATCATCTTTTGCTGTCGTAAAAAGCGCAGAGAAGAAAAATATGAAAAGGAAGTTCATCATGATATCAGGTAATTATGTGAGACAGGAGCTGACTGATGATGTATACCAAGTATGCGTCATGTCTCTAAAGCATTAGTTCTCTTATTAACCATCCAAAGCAGCTTTCTTAGGAGAATGGATAAAAGCTTTGGCCCCCTTCTCCTCAATGCATTTACTGGTTTTTTTTTTGTTGTTTTTTTTTTTTTTGAGATGGAGTCTCGCTCTGTCACCCAGGCTGGAGTGCAGTGACGTGATCTTGGCTCACTGCAACCTCCACCTCCGGTTCAAGCAATTCTCTTGCCTCAGCCTCCTGAGTAGCTTGGACAACAGGCGTGCACCACCACACCCAGCTAATTTTTGTATTTTTTAGTAGAGACGGGTTTTCACCACGTTGGCCAGGATGGTCTTAGTCTCTTGACCTCATGATCCACCCACCTTGGCCTCCCAAAGTGCTGGGATTACGGGCATGAGCCACCATACCCGGCCAAGCCTTCAATGAGTCTTAATGTCTCTGCTGGTGGAAGGTTTTGCCTCCGTGTTGATGACTACTGGCTGATCAGGATGGTCGTTGCTGAAGGTTGGAGTGGCTGTGGCAAATTCTTTCTGTCTTTGGTTGTTTGTTTTGTTTGTTTGTTTGTTTGTTAAGATAAGGTCTCGTTTGCCCAGGCTGAAGTACAGTGGTACATTTATGGCCCACTGCAACCTCTGCCCCCTGGCTTCAAGTAGTCTTCCCACTTCAGCTTCCCAAGCAGTAGCTAGGACTACTGACATGAGCCACCACATCTGACTAATTTTTGTATTTTTTGTAGAGATGGGGTTTCGCCACATTGCCAAGGCTGGTCTCGAACTCCTGGGCTTCATTAGCTCCTACCAAGAATGTCAACCTGTCCTTTAAAGCTTTGAAGCCAGACACCAATTTCTTTAGCTTTGAAAGGCCGAGATGGTATCTTCTTCCAGTAGAAGTCTGTTTTGTCTGTTGAAAATCTGTTACTTAGTGTAGTTACCTTCATCAATGATCTTTTAGCTAGATCTTCTGGATAACTTTCTGTAGCTTCCTTGTCAGCACTTTGTTGCATCACCTTGTACTTTTATGTTATGGAAATGGCTTGTTTCCCTAAACTCATGAACTAGCCTCTGCTAGCTTCCAACTTTTTTTCTGCAGCTGCCTTAGCTCTCTCAGCTTTGATAGAATTGAAGAGGGTTAGGGCCTAGCTCTGGATTGGGCTTTGGCTTAAGGGAATGTTGTGACTCTTTTGACCCTCTATCCAGACCAGTAAACTTTCTCCATATCAGCAATAAGACTGTTTCACTTTCTTATTGTTCACATGTTCACTGGAATAGCACTTTGACTTTAAGAACTTTTTCACTGCATTTACAATTTGGCTTGGCTGTTTGGTGTAAGAAACTAGCTTTCAACCAGACTTGATTTTCAGCATGCTGTCCTCACTAAGGTTAATTATTTCTGGGTTTTGATTTAAAGAGAGCCATGCTGATGATTGCTTGAGTCCAGGAGTTTGAGCTTGCAGTGAGCTATGATCACACCACTGCACTCTAGCCTGGGTGACAGATTAAGACTGTCTCAAAATAAATAAATAAAATACATATTTTTTAAAGTGAGAGCTATACTAACTATTCCTTTTACTCGAACACTTAGAGATCATGGCAGGGTTATTAAGTGGCCTCGTTTTAATATTGTTGTGTCTCAGGGAATAGAGAGGCCTGAGGGAGAGGTGAGTGACGGGGGTGGGGTAGAGTGGGGGAATGGGCAGAATACACATAACATTTATTAAGTTTGTTGTCTTATGCGGGCATAGTTCATGGCGCTCCAGAACAATTAAAATAGTAACATCAGAGATGACTGATCACAGATCACCCTAACAGGTATTATGATAATGAGAAAGTTTGAACTATTGTGAGAATTTCCAAAATGCAACACAGACATGAAGTGAGCACATGCTGTTGGAAAAATGGTACTGGTAGATTTGCTTGGCACAAGATTACCACAAACCTTCAATTTGTTATAAAAAAAAAATGCGATCAATATCTATGAAGTGTAATAAAACCAAGGCACAATGAAATGAGCATACCTATATTTTTAAAATTTACCAAAGATAACTTAGATACACAGTTATCCTTCAGTATCTGTGGAGGACCTCCTGTGGATACCAAAATCCAGGGATGCTCAAGTTCCTGATATAAAATGGTGGCCAGAGGCAGTGACTCAGCCTATAATCCCAGCACTTTGGGAGGCCAAGATGGGAAGATCATTTGAGGCCAGGAAGGAGTTCAAGTCACCAACCTGAGGAAGATGGCAAGACCCTGTCTCTATTAAAAAAAAGAAAGAAAAAGAATATAAAATGGCATACTATTTGTATATAACCTGCACATATTCCTCTGTATACTTTGAGTTATCTCTAGTTTATTTATAATACCTATTATAATGTAAATACTATATAAATGGTTGTTATAATGTATTGTTTAGGGGATAATAACAAATCTGTACATGTTAGGTACAGAGATTACTTAAAAAAATTTTTTCTATGTGTGGTTTGTTGGCTTCACAGATGAGGAGCCCATGGATATGGAGAGCCATTTGAGCTCTTTGTCAGTGTTTGGAATTAAAATTCTTATGCTTAAATTAAATTTCTAGTGTTTTCAGCTAAGGTTTTAGATAAATTTAATAGAAAAAATTCTTTTTTTAAATTTTTTAAATTTAAAATTTTTTTTTTTTTTTTTTTTTTTTTGATACAGATTTTCATTCTGTCACCCAGGCTGGAGTGTTGTGGCGTGATCTCAGCTCATTGCAACCTCTGCCTCCTAGGTTCAAGCGATTCTCCTGCTTCAGCCTCCCGAGTACCTGGGATTACAGGCACCTACCACCACGCTCGGCTAATGTTTTTTTTTGTTGTTTTGTTTGAGATGAAGTTTTACTCTGCTGCCCAGGCTGGAGTGCAATGGTATGATCTCAGCTCACGGAAACCTCCGCCTTCCAGATTCAACTGATTCTCCTGCCTCAGCCTCCTGAATAGCTGGGACTATAGGCATGTGCCACCACGCCTGGCTAATTTTATATTTTTAGTAGAGATCGGGTTTCACTTGTTAGCCAGATGGTCTTGATCTCTTGACCTCGTGATCTTCCCACCTCGGCCTCTCAAAGTGGCTTACAGGTGTAAGCCACTGAGCCCGGCCAATTTTTGTATTTTCAGTGGAGACAGGGTTTCGACATGTTGGCCAGGCTGGCCTCAAACTCCTGACTTTAGGTGATCCGCCTGCCTCATCCTCCCAAAGTGCTGGGATTACAGGCGTGATTAAGATACAAATATATCTGTAGGTGTTAATGTTTTATCAACTGTAAAGTGTTATGCGGCTGTAACTAGATTATCTAGACCGGTGATACTATAATATGAAACTATTTGAGATTTATGCTTTGTAAGACAACATTCTAGAATCAGCTATATTTGTGTAAATACCATATTTCATTAAATGTGAAGTTGTAACTCTTTAATCAGAATGACAAATTGGGGACGCATACACAATTTATGATGTTATGGCTTGTTCTTTTTGCTTTTTTGTGACACACACACACACTTTTATATGCTTAGTATTTAAATATAGGCCCTTATCCATGATTCATAGCTTGCATAATTGTAGGTTTTTAGAAAGGTATTCTTTTGACATGTATTGGGGATTCTGTTTTCCAGGGAAGATGTGCCGCCTCCAAAGAGCCGTACGTCCACTGCCAGAAGCTATATAGGCAGTAATCATTCATCCCTGGGATCCATGTCTCCTTCCAACATGGAAGGATATTCCAAGACTCAGTATAACCAAGTACCAAGTGAAGACTTTGAACGCACTCCTCAGAGTCCGACTCTCCCACCTGCTAAGGTAGCTGCCCCTAATCTAAGTCGAATGGGAGCGGTTCCTGTGATGATTCCAGCACAGAGCAAGGATGGGTCTATAGTATAGAGCCTCCATATGTCTCATCTGTGCTATCCATGTTTGTTTCCTTTTTTTTTTTTTTTTGATATATGAGAACCTTTTCTGGTCTAAATTTTGTTACTGGCCTCAAAATATATCAAAAAACAGGAACTGTAAGAAATATATTTTAAAAAAATTTTCTTTGGTTATATTGAAATAGTTACAGGCATTAAAGTTAGTAAAGACGAGTTTACCATCTGAAAAAGCTGGATTTTCTTTAAGAGGTTAATTTTAAAGGTTTCTGAATATCAGTACCTAAGTAAGATGTAGCACTTTGATTATGAAATCATAGGTGAAGAAATTGGTTAACTTACTTGCATATCAAGTTGATACTTGAATAGCCATCTGAAAGTGGTACTTTATAATTTTTACCATTATGTTTAGGATGTGTATCTCATTTATTTATGGCCCAGCAGTCTCCCCCAGATTAGTAAGGAAACATCCATAACAAAATTACTTGTGTATGTTTGTGCTTGTTTTTATACTTCCTTTGAAAACTCTAAATATGTTTGGAATAAAACACAGAAAACACTACAGTGGTTTAGAAATTACTAGTTTTACTTTTAAGTCATTCATAAACCTTGTCTATGAAATGATTCCTTAAATATTTAGTTGATAGACTGCTACAGGCAATAGGGACTTAGCAAGCTCTTTTATATGCTAAAGGAGCATCTATCAGATTGAGTTGGATGGAACATTTGCTGTCAGCCCCATAGGAGATGACACTAGGTGCAATAGCAGGGATAGATTTTGTTGGTGAGTGATCCCATGCCTTCAGATCTGTGGTGGTCTTCAAAATGGTGGCCACCCAGATCGAAGATGTAGTATTTCATAGTTCCCAACTAAATAACTGGCTTTCCACTTTAGGCGATATTTTTCTTATTAGAAAAATATTATAATTCATTTATCATTTGATAATTATAGATTGAAATTTCCTAATTTATTCTAAATTTTAAGTGGTTCTTCGGTTTCAGTGCTTTACGTTGTTCGTTGTTGTTTTTGGATGGTGTTACATATTATGTGTTCTAGAAACATGTAATCCTAAATTTACTCTCTTGAATACAATCCCTGGACGATATTTTTATCATAAATGCAGAATAATCAAATACATTTTAAGCAAGTAAGCGTCCTCCATCAATTCTGTATTCCATTGGGAGGATGTCCAGTTGCTGTTGTGTGACCAAACATGTCTTTGTATAGTTCCAGCAAACCAAGTTGAGCTTCGAAAAAGTTTGAGTCTTAGTTTTGTGAAAGTGATTTATTCTTCAAAAAAAAAAAAAAAAGATAAAAAGATAAGAAAAAAAAAAGAGTAAAGGGAATACTCCTACCTGCCAAATGTGTTAAATATCATTTTAGGAGAAGAAAGTGGATTTATTGTATTTCCCTTAAGATTGTGAGGGAGTGTGGATATAGTAGAATGAGCCAACAGTTTCTTTATAATAAATACAGTCTGCAATAAATTATTTCACTAGCTCTAAAACCTTTCCCTAGATTTTAGTAGGGATTTGGTTTCTGTTAATATCTTTGGGTGCTGTGGTGGTAAATGCTACATTATAAATGGTGGCATGTATTTACAATTAGAGTATTGTGTGTACACTTTTTAATGGGAAACTTAAGCTGAATGTGTAATGGATTTGTGTATACTTTTACATATTTGGAAGCATTTTAAAAATAGGTTTTAACCTTACATAAAATTGCTTTTATACTTATGTTAACATTTTCATCTGTGCCTTTTGGGTGATTTAATTTCTATTATGAATTTCTGGTGCCTATGAGCTAGCTATCACCTACCCGAAAGGTGCTTAGAGGTGAAGGTACTGTTTCTAAAACACATCACTGTGACACCTTTCTATCCGCACATTTTCAAGCTTGCCCCTTTTCTGTTCTTTGTGGATGTAACTTAAATGATTGTGTTATTCATAAAGATTTAGAAATTTCAATATCTCCAACACTGGCTATGTTTCTGATTTTATAACAGTAGGTATTTTTGAATGTCAGATGTTTGACCTGTTTTATATGAATAAAGTTTATTTAAAAATACTATAAAAGTAAGTAAACAGAACACTAATGATGAAGTTTTGGTTCGTCTTATTCCTGACTTTCATATAATGAACATTATCCTATTGATCTAAGTAGAAGTTATCATAGAAAGTGGACATGTATAGCCGGACACGGTGACTCATGCCTATAATCCCAGCACTTTGGGAGGCCAAGGTGGGCAGATCACGAGGTCAGGAGTTTGACGCCAGCCTGTCCAATATGGTGAAACCCCCATCTCTACTAAAAAAAAAATATATATACACACACACACACACACACACACACACACACACTAGCTGGGCGTGGTGGTACGTGCCTGTAGTCCCAGCTACTGGGGAGGCTGAGGCAGTAGAATCACTTGAAGCTGGGAGGTGGAGGTTGCAGTGACCTGAGATCGCACCACTGCACTCCAGCCTGGGTAACAGAGCAAGGCTCTGTCTCAAAAAAATTTAAAAAAATTTAAAAAAAGACTTTCCTTCCTTTTTATTTTTTTATAAGAATACATGAAGAACAAGATTTTCTTCCCTTATACTTCATATTTTAGAGGACATTGTTTTATAGGCTTATGTCTCACTAAAATTCTGTCAGCCAAATAGTACTGCTAAATTTTCAAGTAGTTCTCACGGGTAATTTCAGTTGAACCAGAGATCAAATATTTGCTCCCAAATTACTGTTGGCAATCAAGTAGTTGAATAAAAAATTACTAAAGCATTTCAGTTAAATAGCCAAATAACATCAGTCAAGGATAGTACTGCATCTTAACAGCAAAGCCATTTGGTTCTACTTTGTAACTGACAGACTTGATACCATCTCTTTAGGTTACACAGGATAATTTGAAAAGAAATGTTACTGTAGAAGGTATAGTTCCATACTTTGTTTTTATTTATTTATTTTTTTTAAGAGATGAGGTTTCACTATGTTGCCCAGGCTGGTCTCAAATTGCTGGACTCAAGAGATCCTCCTGCCTCAGCCTCCCAAAGTGCTGAGATTACAGGTGTGAGCCACAGCATCCAGCCAGTTCTGTACTTCGAATACGGAGTGGTTTACAGCTGTTTTTCTTACTGGCAATCTTAACTAATATTACTCCCTCATTAGCCTCTCACTCCCTCAACCTCCCAAAAGTCTGTTATTGATTACAGTAACCAATTATTCTGGACAAATTGCTTCCTTTTAATTTGAGCTATCTGCCATGGGCTTTCTAAAATGGAAACATGGCCTCAGTGTATCTTAGGAGAGTTTGATTGAAAAAATCCAAATCACTATCCATATAGATTACGGACATAAAGAGATACCTGATTTTTATTAAAAGGATAATTTTTAAATTTAAGAGTTAATCTTGGAAATTTGGAACAAGTAAAGGGGCAAGTAAAGATTTTGATTAAATATAAAAGGAATTCATTGCATGAAGTTGACTATCAAATTCTGTGATGTGTGGCTTCTTAAAAATATTCTCAGTGTCTTTTGTGTGTGTGCAGCATGTACATTTGATGTTATGTGAGTGTTACAAGTTTTTTCTTCTAATTTTCACTTCAGCAGTGTTTAGGGCTTTCAGATGCCTTATTCCAGTGTGAACAGAAAAAGTCCATATTTTATGTGGTTAATGCTTTGATGAGTCACATAAAGAGTAGTTTGTAGAAAATGTTGGCACAATTTTAACTTCTTAGTGGCTTGTGGCATTATATATTATATATATGTACATAGATCTTTATAACATTCCTGTGTTTAGTAGTGTAAATGTTCTGGGCAAGTATTAATATATTGAATGCCTTTGGATATTCCAGCAATAAAGGCATTATGTTCTGCAATAGGATTTCTTACTCATTTGCCTATTTTAACACTAAAATAGGCCATAACTGAGCACAAATTCCTTTTATAAATGTTAGATAAGCAGGGAAAAATAATAAACAAATTTGTGAATTGTGGTTCTGTTTATTTATCTTTAGGGAAGGCTGATCATTTATCTTACAGCAGAGAACACCAGCCTTTTATCATTAAAATCAAGTTTTATAAATTATTTTATAATTTAAGAAGACAGTACACATCAGTTGGGTTTGGTTTGGTCATCGACAGTAAAAGTTCCATCAAAGAAGAACTTTATGTTTTCTGCTAACTTATTTAATGACACAAGTTTTAAGAGAACCACGATTCATTGATTCACTTATTTTTGTCCCTAACTGTGAATTTTAATGATAAATACACTTGTACTACTGAGAAAAATATTTTGACACTTCATGTGTGCAAAGTATAGAATTGATAGTGTCAGTTGCAGATTTTGTATTTACGATTTCTGGCTTATATATCCAATGGTGCAGATTATAAAATTTGTAAGAACAAAATTTGTTAAGAAAAACAACTTGCTCTAGTTTTGTGACCTTGTGTACTTTTGAAATAAAATCAAGAAAGCAGTTCTCTGCCTCATGGTGTGGCTTTATTGTACCTTTTATACAATGTCCACTAAAGCTTCAATATTTTATTCCTCCCTGCTTGCCTGTATCAAGGTTTCCTTTTCCCCCCAGTGCATCCTTTAAATAGAAGGAATAAAGATGGCTACAATTGTATTAATACATCATTGAAAACATGTCTAACATGCATACAAATATCTCCCGTTCCTGTGTACTTATATAACAGTATATAATATTTGGGGTTGAAACCTCTAAAGTTCTGTGGGCGTTTCAGAATTTATAGTATAAACTCAAGCATTTTTCAGATGCGTTGTAGAATGTGTGTATATACATATACACACATATGAGACTAGGAAGTCGAAGATCAAGGCACTGGCAGATTTGGTGTCTGCTGAGGGCTTATCTTCGATTTCAAAGATGGCGCCTCTTGCTGTATTCTCACATGACAGAAAGGAGGAAAGGGAGCTTGCTCTAGGCTCTTTCCTAAGACATTAATGCTATTTATGAGAGTGGAGTCCTTACAACTTGATCATTTCCCAAAGGGGCTCCACATCTGAGTGCGATCCCATTGGGTATTAAGATTTCAATATAATGGTGAGATGTGGTCTTCTGGCTAATATATATCAACATAAGAATCTTCGAGGGGCAGAGATATTCGGACCAAAGTAATATCTTATTATGGTTTAAAGTATTTTCACTGACTGTAAATGTTGATTTCAGGAAAAACCAAAAGGGACTATTGATGCTACTGTAAGAAGCATATTGAGGAGTATTTTGTTTGTACTAGGGTTTCTCAGCTTCAGCACTATTAACATTCTGGGCTGGATAATGCTTTGTTGTAGGGGACTGTCCTGTGCATTGTAAGATGTTGGCAGCACCCCTGGCCTCCACCCACTGGGTATCAGTTGCACCCTGGCCCCTCTCCACTATCCCCACCACAATTGTGACAATAAAAAGTATTTCCAGACATTACCAAGTATCTACCCTGGGGTCAGAGGCAAATCGCCTCCTTTTGAGAACCTCTGGTTTATACTAATGTGAAATACCCTACTCGGAGATTAAAAGGTAAAGAGCACAGAACTTAGAGTCAGGGATGTTTAAATACCACTTATTACTAGTTGCTTCACTGGCTTCAGTTTCCTAGTGCTTAAAATGGTACAAAGTACCTACTTCACAGGGGATGTTGGAAGATTTCAAAGAGATAAAATCGGTATAATAATGAAAGTTTGTATTTATCCCTAATAGCTGGGATGCTGATAATGATACACAAACTTTCAAGGAATTGAGCTTACAGTAAAATATGCTAAGTGAAACTGAGAATAATTAAATGCCTTTAATTTAGACCATATTTTAATCTTACAGCTCTAATGGCCAGATCATATTTCTGGTTAAGTAAATAACATGGTAAAGCTGATTCAACTGAGACAACATTGGGTATGAAGTAATTTATTATTCAATAAAAATAGTGTAAGTCTAAGGTATAATCGAAGATAATTTCAAGATGCAATAACACCAACAGTGAAAAAAATAAAGAAGCTAGTCCAGGAAACTAAGCTCTGTTTTTTTGCTGGTATTTCCAAAGTATAAATCAAACATACTGTGTTACTTAGATGATTTTTAAATTGTGTTAAATATTTATAGGGGAAAAAAGTTGCTATTCTAAGATAACTACAAAAAGAAGCTGTTAGGTTCTCCTAAATTAGAGGTACTTCTGTGCCCTCCTCAATGTCAGTACAGGTGTTTTATGGCACAAAACCTTTGCATTCTGATTGTTTCACATGCTTGATATACCTCCTTCAGGAGTCTGAAGGTGATTTACCTACCTCAGTCCCCACTGCCTA